GTGTGCTCTGGAAGCCCCTGCTTGGCTGGGCTTTAATACCAGCTATTAAACATAGGGGAAACCCAGAGCTTGAGAAACCCACCAAACCTCTGATGTGAAGTGGATTTTTGATGAACAGCTCAACAGTTACCTAGTTTAAAGGGTTTTGTAGGTCAGAACAGGCAGAAGAGAGGCCAGTGCAGGGCTGTAGCTTCCTCCACAGTCAGCAGGCAATCAGGCATTGTAAGGAGAAAGTCCATGGTGTTCCAACACTGAAGTAAAACTCTGCTCAGGTAGGCTGTTTAGGCTGCTGCTGACCCACACCAAGATGCTGCCTCTTCTAGCCCAGCCTGAGGCGTGAATGTTGGCTACCATGCCCACAGCACATCTCCAGGATTATAGTCCAATCCAGTTAAGGCAAACTGTGCTTGTTTATCCTTGACACTTTTGATAGTAATTTTTTTTTTTTTTTTATAATTTGATCATTCTGGCCAGGCAGGGAGTGATGATCATACTGGCAGCAGATCTGAACCCAAGGGGAGAGGGAAGCAAGTGCCTATAAAGAATATAACTGATGAAAATGGGCTGTATTTGATAATCTCTTAGTTCATATCAGCTGCAGCCAAATGAGCTGGTTTACATCTGATTATAACCTTTGTCTTCTAGAGACTCTTAGTCCCTTGGTGGATCTTAGCAGTTTCAAAAAAATTATCCGCTATTTGCACATCCTACATTGGTTAGGTATACAAGCAAGATATTCCTTACAGCCCCTCCCTCAGACACTCCGGAGACACGAGACAGATGATTCCAGTCTGGATCCATTCCGCTACAATTATCCAGTGTTTTTTTGTAACATATTTTTTATTTAAATAAATCAAGAGGTTCCATTTAGCACATTGCGTTTGTCTTGGCATACACTTCACACATGCAGAAACTCTATATTAAGGCTTTCATACAGCCGTTAGCAAAAGAATTAGCCAAATGCATCCCTGGTGTGCAACTGTACTGACTTCAGTGAAGTTTCACTGGGGTATCCCTGTTCTGTTGATTTGTCCCCCTCATTCTCATTCCAAAAGACAAAACAGGGGAAAATGTATGTTTGTATTTAGTTAATGCAACATATTCCCCATATGAGATGCATGTAATCCCCTGCAATTCATTGTCTTCTACATTGCTTGCTGCTTTAGAGGACTGATTTTCACATTTATCTATCATTCTGGTTTTATGACAGCTGCCATAACAACATGGAGGTTGCAAGAACAAGCAGTAGGAAGTCAGGAAACATTAAAGTCACCATTTGCCCATAAACATAAGTTAGCAACCTTAAAGTGAGCCTGTTGGCACCAGCAAACACGAGAGCAACAGCAGTCACTAAGTTTTAAGTGCCAGTCACCAAGAATCAGTTCTTGGCCCTTTTTAAGTCTAAGAGTTTGAGGAGCAACATCAAAAGGGTAAGAAGAGCCAGATCCAGATGGGCTGGGCTGGTCTGAGAGGTGGGCAGGACATCACCTGGCTTGCAGTGCAGTGATTGCACTGCCTGCGTGTCAGGGCTCCAGGTGTGCTTCATTTGGTGTCAAGGTAAGCAGAGCTCTGCCTACTATGAGAGTCTGTCCAGAAAAGCCAAAGCAGAGTGACACCTGTCAAGGAGGTGAGACGTGGGTTGAACTACCCTAAAAATTATTTTTTGTCACTTTGCTATCAAACATTTTTATCAATAGCACGGATGGAAACATAACTGCATTACAGACTGTCACAGAATTACAGAGTTATTACACTTGGACAAGAACTAAATGATGACAAAATGCTACAGGCCTGGGGACAGAGTGGCTGGAAAGCTGCCCAGTGGAAAAGGACCTGGATGTGCTGGTCGAAACCTGGCTGAGCATGAGCCAGCATGTGCCTGGGTGGCCAAAAGCCATTGGCATCCTGGCCTTGTATCAGCAGTAGTGTGGCTAGCAGGACCAGGGCAGTGATTGTCCCTCTGTACTCGGCACTGAGGCCACACCGCAAATGCCGTGTTCAGTTTTGGGCCTCTCACCACAAGAAAGACATTGAGGGGCTGGAGAATGTTCAGAGAAGGGCAACAGAGCTGGGGAAGGGTCTGGAACAAAACTATATGAGAAGCTGCTGAGAAAACTGGGGGTGCTTAGCCTGGAGAAAAGGAGGCTCAGGGGGGACCTTATCACACTCTACAACTGCCTGAAAGGAGACTGTAGTGGGCTTCGGGCTTGGTCTTTTTGCACAGGTAAAAAGTGTCAGGATGAAATGGCCTTAAGTTGTGCTAGGGGGTGTTCAGTTTAGATATTAGGAATTTATTTTCATTGTGGAAAAAGTCATCAAGCCTTGGAACAGGCTGCCCAGGGAAGTGGTTGTAGTCACCAACTCTGAAAATGTAAAAAAAGCAAGCATATAGGGCATTTGAGGACATGGTTTAATGGTGAACTTGGTGCTTGTGCTGGGTTAACAGTTGGACTTGATAATCCCACAGGTCTTTTCCAACCTTAATGTTTCTATGACTCTATGGACAGGAATCACTGTTTCTCCTGCCACTCATGCATCTTCCCTGTGTTTTGTAGTGGCATGATCTCTGCAATACTGTCTTTCTGGGTGTAGAAGCACTGATGAGCATTCAGAAAGTATCCGTTCAAGATAATGATGGACTTGGGGCACATGGCTAGGGTACTGACTGAAGGGCACAGTGTGGTTAGCATGTCAAGAAGAAGGCAAAAGACTTATTTATCACCATTTAGACAGGGTGCAGAAACCTGATAATATGTAGTCTTTTCAATTTAGCAGATATGTAACAACATTCTGTGGCTGGAAGTTGAAACCAGTCAAAATCAGAATAAAACTGACATGCATATTTTTAACATTCAGGATAATGAAAATGGAATTATTTCCCAAGGGCTACAATAGAGTATACATCACTGGAAAACTTTTCAATCAAAAGAGAAGGAGTCTGGATTTTTGTTTTCCAAACAGATATGCTCTAAGTCAAGGAGGAATTAATTGAGGCCAGTAGTGCAGTCTGCACAATAAAGCAGATCACATTAAATGTAACCCTTGATGTTTTGAGCATCTTTTACTGTCATAGAAACTCAAAAGCAGGACTGTCCATTTATAAAAATAGTCTTATTTATTGCTAACACATACAGCAATGGGCCAGGACTAACATTATTAGGCTAAGCATTCATATGCTCAGTATCCATGGGGCAGCCACCTTGTGAGTCTCTGCTGGCCAAGGTGCTGTCAATCAAGCAGAGAAGTGTCAACCTTTGTTTCTCCTTACAACATGCAGATGCTTAGTCCTGTTGATGCACTGCCTGCCTCTTCTCTGCCTCCTCTCATAAGGTTTTCAGATCTTGACAAGTCAGTGATGGTTTTTCTGCTTTTTCCCCCTGCTGAATCTCTGATGGTTTTATTTCTCTGCTTCCAGCCAGCACTATTACTGACCTAACAAGCTCACCTCTGCAGTCCCTCTTTGTTTCTTCCTTCTTACCTATCAAATAGCTCTCACCTCCATCTTAAAATGGGAGTGACAGCAACAGCTTATCTGTGTTAAAACTGAACCCTGAGTTGCATAAATGGTTCCAGTGGTACCGTTTGGTTGTGAAGTACTGTTGTGTTGACTGTGAAGTCAATAATCACACAAGGGTCCATATCTGCTCCAAGGTTTCCCCTCATGGTTTGCTTCCCATGTAGACATATCTCTTAAGGAAAAGTATCTGCTCAGCTTTCTTATCCATGAGAGCTGCAAGCACATCCAGAGAGATAGAAGGAATTATTCCTGCCTTCCTTACTGCCATGTAATGTAAGCCATGGCTATGGAAAGCTGAAAAATCAGCAATTAAAAAGAAATTCTGCTTTTGCACAAATACTGAAGATTATGTATGAGGGCACAAGATTAGGATTTCATTGAGATAGGTGAAACTATTGGATAAATAGTACTAGGTACTGCTGTGCTCTTCTATTTTGCATTTCATATCTCTCTTGATAACTTTAACTAAGCAGAAAACCCAAAGTCATGACTGTGGTTGGGGATAATGTATATGCCAAAGTTCAAAGAGCTACACCAATTCTCTAAGGTGTTAAAACTGCCTAAGAAACATAACTGAAAGAGTGCAGTTTCCCCTCTTCCCCACCCCCCTCCACCCCATTTTCTAAATTCAAACCTTAATTACAAAACAAAATTTAGCAACTTCACCCTGGGTCCTTCAAGAAATATGTAATAATTTGGAAAAAATGTCAACAGCATTATGAATATTCTGCAAATGCCCTATAGAATTATAGTATTTTAATTATGGGAATCTCCAGAATGGAAAGCAAAGGATTCTCCAGCAGTGATAACAAGTGGTACCATAGTCAGTCCTTAGTATCCTCCTTCACAAGCCTCTGTAGTGTGCCACTGTCCTGCGAGCTACACAAAACCTGTGCATGCCTCCCTATCAGCACTGCTGTGGCAAGCAGAGGGGAAAAAACTACCTTCAGCTTTAGTGCAAAGACTTCCTTGGTGGACAGGCAAGTAATGTTTATTCTGGCTGTAGTATCTCTTTTAAAGGTTACATATTGTTGTTCTTGGAAACTCTGCTTAATGGCTCTGTTTGTGTATGTGTGTATGTGAAACTCTGACAGATGGATTATAGCGATTGATTACACTGGACATTTTTATGTACTTGTAACCTGATAAAAAATATTTCATTTTTATACCCATAGATACTTTGAGAAGTAAAATGACAGCAACTTCCCGCCCCTCCCCAGCCAAACAAACCCCCAAAGCCACAACACCCTGGCCCCAACCAACAAAAGCACAAAAGCACAACAGTAGCAGAGATGCAAAAGTCTATGAGAGGACAATGACATTATTTATAGGAACATCTACCTCACCTCAAAATAAGACTCAAGTGAGTTGCACCACTGAGAGCTCTCCAAAAGCTCCCCATATGAAACTTCTGCAGGAGGAAGTGACATGCTTTCAGTCTGGCTAGGAAGGGAGAGCCAACCTGATGAATCTGGCTAAAGTTAAAACTCATGAACTGAATGGCACTTCACATCTCTGTGCTTATGAGTACCTATTTTTCCTCCAGCTTGTGGGAAAGAAATGCAACTAACCTCTTCTTACCTCTTTCCTCACCCAAGGAGAATCACCATCAGCAAGGTTCTCATAAATTTGTACACATTGGTTTTCTTCCTTTTTCAAAGAGTCAGGAAGATTACAGGGTAACTGTTCTCTAAGCATTAGGCCACATCTGCTTCTAAAAGAAAAAAAAATCCAGAGCAGGTCCCTGCAAACAATTCTTTGCTTGTTTTAAATTAAAGCACTTCCATTCTCAGAGAAATTGTTTCGATCTGGATGTTGAGGCAACATTTTTGTTGTTTGTTGTTTAAAAGTGCTTATCCATACTCAGTCACAGCAGAGATTGGGCACAGCATTACTTAGCTGTCTGCCTGGGGTGTATATGCGTGTATGGATTTGTCCTATTTTTAAGCTATTTTAACTTATGCTTTATATTCTAGTGCTTTCTGATAAGTAGAGTTTATGTCAGAATAATTGGCCTGAGGATTTTTCTTTCCAGTCCAGTACATTTCTGAGGTACAGCTACATAGAAGATAATGGAAATGCCTCTGGAGTATCTGTCTGACAAGGGAAATAGCAAGAGTAAGGAGTGAACACAAAACAGGGACCTTGTCAAAGAGTGTGCAAGTGAATCAGTCCAATCACTCACTGTGGGTGACGTATCTGAACAAATTGAAGCTGACACAATGGTCAATTTGACTGAGGAAAGTATAATTTTGGATTAGGGTGAACACCTTTAATCTGTCAATTGTGGCAGTCTTAAACTTGTAATTGAAAGAGCACAGCACTGCTTTACTCCAGATGTCAGTCAAACCCATTCCCCCTCTGATCACTGATCAGTTTGCAGTCTCTTCTGCATTTACTGATTAGGCTTCTAAATATGTCCTCTTTTAGACAAGATTCTTTGCTCCACCTGAAGAAAATATCAATCAAATAAGAACAGCCCATTCAGAATAACACTTTGATTCACCTGATTTTCAAGCAGATGGTATTCAGGGCACAGGAAACAACAAAACAGAGCATCGCCATGTGCTTAATTTTAGCTCTTGCTCCCTGAATTGCTGTTAGAGCTATAAAATACTATCTTACTTTTAGTGTGCTTGTGTGCCTTGCCATTCCAGAATTGAAGTCATGACTCTGTAGTGCAATTCAGAATAGGGTGATTTCCACCTTGGGAGCACCGTTCCCAGAAGATGGTTGAGTTTCCAGCCCACCTTACTTGTCCCACCTGTCCCAATCTGGGACAGGTAAGTGAATGATTTCTGTAGGCATCTTACCCTCAAAACAGACCAAGGGTACTGACTCATGAGAAGTAAGCATATATTACCAGCTTCAGGAAAAGAATTATTCCATCCCTGCCCACTTGCGTGCAGATGGTTCTATGATTTATCAAGAGAAATGGTCCATATGCTGCTCACAGTCTCCTGAGACTTTTACCCTAACATCACCTCTTCCAATGTTTAGATTAAAGCAACATGAAATGGAGAATAAAATTAGCCTGACCTTGCAGTAAGCAAGGAGGTATCAGAATGACTTGCTACATAAGAGATTCTCTACTTCTTAGCAATATCTCAGGGCAATTCAAGATCAGAATCATGGAATTTTCTGAGTTGGAAGCGACCCACGAGGATCATCGAGTCAGGAGTTTCCTTATCTTAGCTCATGCTGCAGGTGAGCCATACCCCACACAAATATCCTTCTCTGGATACTGAATCTGACATTCTCCATAGCAGTTTGAATTCTAGCCTCTTTAATTTTTGGTCATCACTAATGACCATAAAATTGACATTGTTTTAAATGCTTGCTGCTGTTGCAGCTCTAGAGGTAAAAGGAGATAGGAATCTCTTGTCATTATTAACAGCAATATTGTCTTTGGGAGGCAGACCACAGGGAGGTAGAAAGAGAGAAACAGGTTCCCATTCTCTGGCAGGAGAAAATGCAGCAAAATATTAAAGTAGCTAAGCAAACTCATTTCTTCAGCATGAGAGGTTGAAATAAACAGGCAAAGAAGCATCCCACCCTCCAGAGCTTCTCAGGAGTAAATCACCAAACTATTAGTTATCCATGCTCTACTCTGTCATTATTCTCTGCCTGTCAGCTCCTTGTAGGGGCTGCCTGTTCCACCCCTCTTGTGTTATTATGGTTGCCATGCCCTCCTCTCACCAGCTCCTATCAGTTATAATGACACAGTGATGGGGAAAAACCCACACTCGGGCTTCCAAATTACCAGGAATTAGAGGAACAACAATAAAATTGCTTAAAAAAAAACCCCACCAAAAAACAAAACAAACCCTCGATCAACCCCTCCCTGCCCCCATCCCACCAAAAAAACCCAAACAGAATAAAATAACCAAAATGAGAGAATTTTGCAATCTGTAGATGATTTCTGCTTTTGGGATTGCATATGTCATTAAGATTTATAGGTCAGTCCAGAGCTTAAAGAGCAGATGTTTTCTCATTATTTATCTTCCTAGCTAAGGCAGAAGATTCCTTTTTAAGGAAATCTGCGTAACACATGCAATGGAAATAGATCAGGTCCTATGATCAGCCTTTTTAACCAGCTCGTAAAGGGTGAGCTGAGACACCCATCAAAGAGAAGTTTCATTTTACCCTCCACAACAGAAAGAAATGTGTTCACTAGTGTCTGATACTGAAAATGTCAAATAACAGAACTGAATTTTACCTCTTATCTGGCTGTCCTCTGACTATAGCTATGCACATTCAAATTGTATCTTGTATGAACAGTCAACTGGCTAGGAGGCTTCAGCTTCTGCACTTCATCCCAAGACCTGGATTTTTTGAGCTTTAATCACTGCTATAAACTCTCTCTGTAAAGCACAACCTGTTAGTGCTGTGCTGCAGCTCCCCAAACTGATCAGAGCAATGTCACTTTGACAGGCATCTGTCCTCAGCAGAGCCCTGCTGGACTGGTTACTTAAGTACCCACAGAAATGAAGCAGCTTTCAAGGACCCGCTTTTCTAACCATTGCACCCCTTTGTAGGCCAATCACTGGGCACTTTGGAGGCAATTTGCACAGGTCATCTTCTGTTATAAAGGTGGAAAGAAAAAAATCAAAATACAAAATATTGAAACAAAATATTCCAAGAACTTGGATTCTGTATTTTCTTCTTGCATCCCTTCTATCAGAAATACCTGATTTCTAGCTACAGAATATATTTTCCATCTTGTGACATTCTTCCAAATTATATGAGTTCTACACATTTATAACCGCCATAAATTTTTGCCTAGGCTCTTTGGTCTTATTTGTCAGGGGAATTGGTCTGATTAGGAATCTCACATATTCCCAGGGCAGCTGGGACTGTGTCTGACCTTTGAAGTGTTTCTATCTCCAGGATCACAGAATGATTTGTATGTGAAGATTCTTTTTCTGACTGCTCTTCCCTTGAAGAGATGTCTCTGAATCCTCCTGCTCCAGGCCTTAAAAGCACTGCTGAGACAGCTCATGCCTGAAGAACCTACTCAAAGCCACACACCTCCAGGGTGATAGATTCACTTTAGAATCAAAAGTAATTAAGAGAAAAAGGAACACAGGCTTGCACAGCGACCTCACTATCAATAAAGCTCTCCAAGTAAATCATCAAAAGACTTCTTAACCCTCTGCAGAGCCAATGCCCTCTTCTTGTGACTCTATGGGAATCACCTTTCCTTTGGAGATGTTAAGGCATGGAATGAACAAAACCTTGTCCCTCGTCCCTTTCCCTGAGATCCCAATTTTTTATAGCAGCCACCCTGCTTCTCAGCATCTTTAGGCAATTAAAGCTCAAAACCCATAGCTGATGAAAGGGAACAACCAGTTCTCTGGAGCCTGCCTGCACCCTTTAGCAAATCTTTTGCCCTGAGAAATACCACCACTGACCCCCACAGCAGCTAAGATGGTGAGGTGCTGTGTGAGATTTTAATTCTAAGCAGGAATCTGGCCAACTGGATTAACAGGCCAAGGGCAATTTTTTGAGGTTCAACACAGAGAGTGCCATGTCCTACACTTTGACTATAACAACCCATCAGGTTCAAAGTAGACAGGACCAAAGATAGGAGTGGAAAAAAAACCCAAATCATCTTTTATGGTATGAGAGAGCTATCCAGAAAACAAGACACCTACAGCATAGGTCTGAGGTCTGCACAGGTCTGAGAAAGCTCCAGGGTCAGCATTAGACACAGGCACACCTGTTTATTTCCTACTGTATTTAGCATTGGTGTGGCCTCACCTTGAGCACTGTGTGCAGTTCTTAGCCCCACAATTTAAGACAGGTGAAGGTGATGTGAAGGTCCTTGAATGTACCCAGAAGAGGCACCAAAGCTGGAGAAGGGGCTGGAAGGTATATCCCGTGAGGAGTGGCTAAGGACTTTGTGTTTGTCTAGTTTTGAGAGAAGGAGTCTGAGGGACAACTTCACTGCTCCCTACAGCTTCCTGAGGAGGGGAAGTGTAGTCAGAGGTGCTGAGCTCTCCTCCCTGGGATCTAGGGAGAGGACAGGTGGGAATGTTATAAAGCTGCATCAGGGCAAGTTTGGACTTGACATTATGAAGCAGTTATTTACCAAGAGGATGGTCAAACCCTGGATCATCCTTTCTAGAGAGATGGCTGATGCCCTGAGCCTGTCAGTGTTTAAGACACATTTGGACAGTGCCCCTAATAGAATGTTTTGACTTTTGGTCAGCCCTGAAGTGGTCAGGTAGTTGGAATCAGTGACCATTTTATGTCCCTTCCATCGCTACTCTTCCATTCCACTCTACCTACAGCACAGCTCAAACAAAGATGGAGGCCCAGGCTTGAGTTAAGGTGGGACTCTTGGGTCCATGGGAATATGTGTGAGTGGATGTCACAAGTTAGGCACCCTCTCCTTAGTCCTACAAATTCCAAAGTTTTCTTCAGTCATTCTCAGAGCAAATTACCCTCTGATTCTTGTCTTTAACCTTTTTCCTATGTATTTGCATAGAGACTAAATGAGCCATCTGTAGTGCCAGTCTATCCATGCTCTATTCTACTATGTCATGAAGAGGTAAAGAAAATGCATTAAAAAGCTGTAGTCAGTGCTGTGTGCCAGCTGCTAGTGTCCCTTGGAAAATATTTGCACTGTTTGTTACTGACATGAATGTTCTCTTGGTAATTGGAGTGCTGCTTATAGTTCTTCAGGATTCCTTCCCCCTTTGGCTACCCCAGAGAAATGTGCTGTACAGGCCAATATGAGCATTCAGCTGAGCTGATCCAGTCCAGTAATTTTCTGTATTAGGCGAAAATGTTGTTTTCATTACCAATCTTTAAGTCTTAAAAAACAAAAACTCCCTGCAACTGTAACTGTTTCTCATAAAGTCCACATTGCATAAACAGTTGCCCCAGGTCCTGGGAACAACAGCCCGTTCACACATGGACTGCACCACAAAAGCAATAGCTCACAGTGGTCAGGCCAGGGCAGAACAAGGACGTGCTCTCTGTAAGGGACAGATGGTATCTATTTAGCAAAACATTCTTCCACTAAGGCTGTTTTAACGCCCAGATAATTTTTATCAGCTTCTTATCACATTTGGGAGCCCAGCATGCTTCTGATAGAGGCTGTGTAAGTGCTTCCCAGAGAGTGCTGTAGTTTCAGGGTTCAAGGCAGCATATCAGCATGAAGAGGAGGTGTGTGGATGTGGAGGGGTGGAATAAAAACAACCCCATGCTATGTTTGCTGATTTTGAAATGTTCTTGGATGATTTTCCAGGTAGAATATAGATGCAAGAACGTGGGAGGCCTCTTTCATCCATACTCAGTTTTGCTGTACATTCAGGGCCAGACTGTGAGCCTTTAACTCATCTGCGTCTGTGTGCTGATTTTTAGGCTGACACGAAGGAGGTCTGCCAGTGCTCTGAGCAACTCAGAGATGCCTCACTGGCATCTGTAGCATGGTATTAAGCCCAAGCTATCCTGGCTTACATCTGACTGCAAAATTCAGTGTAGACATGCAACTTAGCCTGGCACCCACTCCTAGGAATGCCTCCCTTCCCAGATACTTCTGTTGTGAGGACAAGGTGTTACTCATCCTCACTACGCATATCACAGGGTGTCTTACTGTTAGAGTGTCAGGCAGAGCTGTCATCTGAGAGCTCCAGTGCAGTGAGGCGATGCAGCCCTGTGTCAGCCCTCTTGAACTGTGACAGTACCACATGCGACACGAGGAGCACAACACCTGCACAGTGTAGCATGCACCAGAGCACCTTGATGTAAAGAGTGGTTGGGTGTTCAGAGAGAGCAGAGAGGAAAGTATGGGACACTTATGAAAGGCAAAGAAAACTCTCTCCCTCTCTCTCTCTCCCCCCTCTTTTCTTTCTTCACCAGGGAACTGGCTCACACAGTACTACAATAACAAGAACTGGCAGGCTGCCCAGCATTGCTGTACTTTGGTTGTAAGTGAACTATGAGGCTCAAGCAATCTTCTGGGAAAAGTTCACACCAAATGTATTGTATGTTATGTTTTCCCCTCATTGTATTTTTTTTCCAAAACAGTCTATTATATTCCTTCCCTGTTGCACTGTGTATTTCTTTAAGATCCCCAGGAGTTACCCTTTTTAAAACCAAACATTTGGGTAATCTAACAGATCTGTTTTTTGAAGTAACAGAGATAAACTAGTAATCCTCCTCTCAGAGCCAGCCTTCAGAATAAAACCAGAGCACAATTCATTGGATGGTGAGGGTTCCTATTGTTGGAAATTCATTTGCTTGGTTTTTTTTGGTTTTTTTTCTCAGTTAAAGCAAAAAAAATTAAATAAGAGAAAGAAGTGTGCCATTAAAACACTATAATTATCTATATCATGCACATCTTCCATGAAGTGGAAGCCAAAGCAGAGGGGACTTTACAATAGTAATGCAGTAAAAAAAAAAAAATGTTCCAAAAGGTATGTTAAAGGTATGTTCTCTGTTTCACTTGAAGCTTTCAAAAAAAAAGTCTAATGTGGTTTTACATGATACTTCTGGACACCTCAGAGATGACAGCTGTAACTTTCACTGTAAGATGCCTTCATTTATTTTTTCCTGTTTCTCAATATGGTTTTTGCAGGGTCATAAAAAGATACATTTTTTAAGTTCACAGAAACTATGAACACATTGAACACAATTTATCTGACAAATCAGACCATGGACAGTCAGTTGGAAACTGGGTAACAAAAGTATGCCATAACCATAGCCCAAGTACATATTCTCCATTGCCCTGCAAATACCGATGCTTTGACTGTTTAATTTTACTGTATTATTGCCTATAGGTCTTCACTAAGCTGTGCATTGCATTGTGCGAGGTGTGGCACCAACACATAAGAAGTTTCTTCCTCAGAAGATTTAGGAGGTTAGTTTAGGGTCATTTTGCAGATATGTTGGCACAGTACACAAAGTAAACTCACAGCAAACATGAAACAGTTAATTCAGCTTAAATTAATGGTGGTATCAAGTACCTGTAATTCCAGGAGGCCTTAGCAGGAGTTTTGGGTGTTCAGCACTTTTGAAAGCCAGACTGAAGTTCTCTGCCATACTTCTGACAAAAAGTCCTTAAAAATTAAAGACAGAAAAGAATTATTAGGTTATCAGTCCAAATTCACCCCAGAAGAAAACCCATTGAAGTCAATAAAATTTCACTGGGGATGGATTTGCTATAGCAAGATTGATCCCTATAGTATATTTAGAAGTGCTTTGTCCTATACAGTTTTAATTAGCTTCACATTAGTCAAGGTACTGTACCATTGTTTTAATCAGCTACCCTAGCAGAGAATTGTCTCTAGGTATCCTTGTCCACATTTCCCCTCCCACCCCCATCCCTTGCTGCCTCCTTCTCACTCCCTCATTATTTTATCTCTAATTTGGCTAATGAATTTCTCAGACAGAGCCTTCTTTCATGTTTGAGAAGGACCTTGCTTGTACTGAGGCTAAAGAAAAAAATCCAAACCACACCGAAGGGAAAAAAAAGGACCAGAAAGAAAGAGCAAATTCTTCTACTGAGTAAAGTGAAGGTGTCTATGAAGCTTTAAGCTGTTCTTTTTCACTCCATCAAATGACATATAGCTAGGTCACAGTTTCTCACCCCATATTCTGCATTAAGGTGAACATGAGTACTTTAGTCTTGACTTTCTAGTTTCAACACTGACTCGCTGCATTGTCAGAGCAAGTGGTTCTTGTTTTAAATCTCTGCTTTACCAGAGTTACAACAGCCATAATCATTCACATCTACACGTAAAGAATTTCTCAAGTTGCTTCACAGAAATCAGGAAAGCCTTTTAAGTTCTCTAGTGGAAAAGTACGTGTAATACAAGGCAAAGTACTGTTGCCACCAGTAGTACTGTTTTTTTTTTTTTTTAGTCATTCTAATGCAAGGATTAATCTTTTCTCTGAGTTTGCCAATTATTTTTTTACCTTCTTTAATGAAAGTTCTAAGAAGGTTATAGAGAATCTGTAGTCTCTGTATGCTTTCACTCATATAACTACAATTAAAACAACTGAATTGAGTTGAATATCTGAGTGTTGAGAATAACTGCAGAAACTGTGGGTTCAGTGCTGCCTTCTGCCAAAGAAAAAAATGTCCACAACTAAGGAAAAAACCTCCAAAACCACATTGGACAAGTTACTAAATCCCATCTACGTAAACACGTGTGTGTTCATTTCTGAGTCACTGTATCATTTGACCATGAAAGAAACAAGACAGTTTGCTTGAAGAATGTTAGGAAGACCAGAATATAATTTTTAAAAATGCCATGTTTTCAGTTTTCTTAATGCTCTTCTAAAACAAGCACACACTCACTTTAAATTTAACCACAGAGCTTAATTAAGCTTCTTCTGATTGTGCTGGGAGGGTTCCATCTTGTCTTCCTGTGGTCATTTCATCAGCCAGGGCTTTTCATGTAAGAATGTGCTGCATCCATGTCACAGCATGGGGTCTCATCACAGACACCTGCTCTCAGCCTGTGAACACAGATTTTAATCCCCTTCCCTGCAAAAATGGTGACAGAAGGACATGTTATTTAATTACTCATGCATGCTCTCCAAGACAGGGTCCACAGCTCCACTTGTTTCATATGGCTTGTGCTATTTTTGGGGGGTGATCAAATAGGATGGTTGTTAAAAAAGGAGAAAGCTTCACAATAGACTTCTCTTTGCTATTTGATGAGAATAATAAATGAAAAGATTGGCAGGATAAGAACAGAGTGGGAACCGAAGAAAATCTAGGTATGGTAAATATGGCCATAAAATTTTTTGTGACTTCTTCTGTTCTCACTGTGAAGATATGTAAGCCAAAATGTACTGTGTAACTTCACTGTCCTCCACTACAAGATCATGGATCCAGCAAAAATTAACTGTGATAGCCACGTTTAACATACTGAAAAATATGAAACCAACAGAAATTTACTGAAGCCTTTATCTAAGTACGATCTGCAGTAGTGGGTATGTTTCCCTCAGGTGCCAGAAGAGGAAAAAATGGGGAGGATTTAAGAACAAGTATAAATTTTTAGTTGTGCTTAAACAACGCATTTGCTAAATCACTCCAGTCAAAATCCTTCAGCAATCCTTCCAAAATCCTATCATGGACCAAAGCAAAGCATGGCTAAATGAAACGTTATATATTGTATCCAGCAAGCAATCATTCTACTTGCATTCTCATTGCCCTCAGCAGCACCTGCATTCTTTGATCACAGTCCTTTTATGTGCTGCACTGTATACAAAAGACTGAGCCAGCAATTAGCCATTCTAGTGCTGGGTCCTGAAATCTCTGCAAATGCTTCAGCTCTTTAATGAATTCCTAAATAGAAGGAAGTTGCAAACAAAGTTCAGCTTGTGTATTTTATGCCAGGTTCCCACAGCACTGTAGGTTTTTAGAGCTTAATTAATGACACTTGCATCCTGTATGCCTTCCAGAGTTTTAGTGGAACTTTTACTGGTCACTTCAAACTTTGACATCTTTTCGACAATTGTCCTCAGAATATTGGGCAACCTCCCCAGTCTTTGGAAGGAAAAAAAAACAAGACATTGCTGCCAATCATGACTCATCTGTATTAACAGGATGAACAAAAACTGGAGGGACAAAACGTGCATCATTTCAAGTAAACTACTCATCAGAAATCCTATGCATTGTATAGGAACCAAAATGGGTGATGTAAATTAAAACCACAGCCTAAGATACCAGCATTTGGGAACTCTGCCAATGCCCCTAATTAAAATTTTGAACTAATCTCTTCAGGGAATCCAAGAAATTCTTTCAGAAAATAGAACATTCTTCTATGCATATCCAACTACTTATCCTGTAAGAGGGACTATAAAGGAGATTGTATACGATCAGACAGAGGTCAGTCGAGTGGAAAGGACAGTGTGAAAGCTACAGGAAATGAGCCATCTATAAATGAAAATACTGGAATTCCTTCTTGAACTCTGACTCAGATAATGTAAGATTTTTCTGGTCCTCAACAAAGGATCACTACATCAATGGAAAGTCTTCATTAATTTTAGTGTGATTTTAATCTGTACCCAAAACAGGAGAATATAAACATAGGTGTTTAGAACATCAAAGTATGCTAACATGTCCTTTCTCTTCTTTTCTACCATCATTAGAGAGCTTGGCAAGAGGGGTTTGGGATAAATAAGAAGTGTAGAGGCTGGACTGGAGAGGGCCTAAGACAGCCCCTGACACTGGCTTATAGACATTAAACAACAGATCTAGTACTGTTAGAGATGCAATTAGACATGAAAGGATGAAAAGGCTTGGTAATCAGTTGGTAAGTGGAGAGGGAAAGGATGTTGATAAGTATTTCTTAGAAAGGAAAGCCCAAATCTTTATTGTTAATTGAAAAAAAAAAAAACAAAAAACAGAGTAAGATTTTAAGAAGAAAAATATGATTCTAGGCAGGTGTGAAGAAGTGGGGAATAAGGTAACTAGAGGAATGTACAAGGCTAGGTTAGAATCTCACACATGGAAAAAGAGACAAGATAGGTAGTGGTTACAAGAAAAAAAGTTACAAGCAGGGAAACTGCATCATACTAAGTAAGTTTTGTCTTTGAAGAAACCACCAGGGTCCTATAAAGAAAAATAAGTGAAGGCAGTAGGAGAGAACTACTAAAGATTAATCTAGGCTGGTTCTGCAATGAGTAAATCTGTTTAGGTATGCAACTGAGCCTCATAAATCAAGCAATCCTATCCTGAGCTCAAATTATTCAAATCTATGGCTTTTGTTTGGCAGTGTGGAACTACAGGGTTTAATCATTGTCTTACACTTCCCTGACACTCAGGCAGACTGGCTGACTTTGGGGAAATAGAGGCACAAGCCTCCCTTTGCATGGCTGAAAATGACTATGTGCAAAACAAGGACTAAGTTCTCGTGGCAAATTCTCCCAATTGAATCCAAACAGAATTTAGGTCTGATACGCTTGTATTTGCAGAGCTTTGCCTCTTCACTCTGGCTTAGAAGCAAACAAAACTTCCTCTCTGCTACCTTTTTCTAAAGGATCTTTCTTTGACTATGCCATTTATGGGTCTATATTACATGTAATTCTCTGATACCAGATGAGATAAGAGAGATAATCCACATAAAGGATTTGTGGCATAACAGATTACAGCTTCCTTTTGTATGTTGTATGCATTGCCTTGAAGAGGCCTTGAGTGATGCTATAGGATCTCTGTATTCAGGTTACAAGATACTTGCATTCAGCACTGCCTTATTATGGGTTTAGAAATACCAGCAACCCAACTAAGTGGCCAGCTGTTCAGATCCTGCTGTTCTCTCAACCCATGCAAAGGTAAAGTACTATTATGGTCAGTGGGATCCTTGCCAGGGTAACAAGATTGAAACCATTTTCCACGTATTTATTCAACTGCCACTTCAGTGGTAAAGCAGTAACAGTAAAGTAAATAATAATAAAGTGATTGTTTAGCAGACAGAACAAATTATTTCAGGAAGAAGTCATCTGTGCTTCAATCATAATTTGTCCAAGCCAGAAAACTTAGTTATAACTACTTAGTTATTCTGCTTTTTTTTTTTTTACTTTGTTATTATTATTAATATCCAAACTCCTGTTGACACAACCAGCTGGAATCTTGAAATTGGATTTTACTTATAATTTAAGGGTCTACCTAAGGTTTAAAGACTTTTGTGGATCTACCTGAAGGTGCTCTCACTGGGCATCTCTCAGAAAAAAAAAAGCTATAAAACAGCTAAACTGCTGCTCTGGAGCTCAGTTTCTCCATCAGAATTAATATGGCATTAGTTCTTCCAGGGCAATAATCACTGGGAAGGTCTTCAGTTGTGTTTCCTGCTGTGCAAGATGCTCTTCAGATGAAGGAACAGAATAATTTTGGGAAACACAAAGGAGTTATGTTCAGCAACTTCACAATATGACTGTTCTGATACAAGGCCAACTCTGGTTTCTAAGCCTGGAAAACAATATAGCCAATCTCTGTGGTAGTGGATGGTATGAACTATTCTCACAATGGTATATCCTGCTTAGCACATGTGAGATATCTCTAGGAGGAACATGGCTGATGATATATTTACATGACATTAACACAAATGTCATTTACAGTGCTCATTTGCCTAATTAATAGTGTATTTATGTTTCTTGAACATTGCAGTGATCATTTTTTAATCTCCTCTCCGGTGAGAGCATTTAGTAGAGTGGGGCAACTTATGTTTGCTCTCCAATGATGGTACATTAATCTCTCAGCAAAAAAATCTGCTTTTTCCAGTCTCACCTACACTGACATTTTGCCTGCTCCTGAATGGATCAGCAACATTCCACTAACAATAAACATTCTCAGTATGGAACAGTGATTCATACTTCTTGATTTCTACTTCTCAGAGAGAGAAAGTGAAGTAAGCAGCACGATTCTGCTACATACAAGCAGGCAAACATCTTATGGAAATACACCTTTAGCATCTTATGTCAGCGTGATTTAGGATGTCACAGATCTCAGCTGTTTGCTGTCTTTCTGGCTCCCCTGGCTGTACTGAAATCACCACAGTGACAGCCAAGATGAAGTAGCTGACTATGTGAGCATTCCTTGTCCTTTCCAATACACAGCAAAGCTACTTAGCTTAAATCACCACTGACGGGAACTAACTTCTTAAACGGGTTTGAACTTGATCCTAGTTGAGCACATCTGACTGTGCCCCAGATTGTCTAGCTCAGCTCCACACCAGCACATGTACCCTATTATCAGCAGCAGCAGCTTGACATCAGTCAGCAGCTGGCAGACGGGCCCTTGGGGACTTTTCTAGCTGAGGCTGGTGCAGCCCTAGGGCTGCTTCAATATATTCTCCATGCACAAAAGGGGACATATCTCTGTGCAAATGTTGTTACTGCACAATGGGTGTCATTGATAGCAGGAAAGAGACAATGCTTGGGAGCTGGACATGTTGTTCAAACATCATTCCAGTCTTTTTATATATTCTGATTAAGGCCCTTTACTTAGAACTGCCATCATGCTGTTGCTGGCTGCTTTGGGTGCACAGAAAATATCTGAAGTCCCTTTTCACCCTCTTTTAAAGAATCGATTGGACTGCATTTCAGTGCCTGTAATTCTATGGTTTGTGACTTTCTCTTAATGTAGATTTTAGCTTATCTATGTAAGATACACAAACAACTACACAACCACATCCATAGTACCCATCTTTTCAAGCACTACAAATATTTTCACTATTAGCCAATTCCTTTTCTCCACTGCATTTCCAGGTCATAACCCCACTGTTGTCAGCATTACTTAGCCCTTGACACCCTAGCAGTATTTCTTCAGTAGTGGCAGACAGGGCTCTTAGGCAACCAGGAAATCTAAAACAAAGGAAAACTGTTAAAGGGAGAATGTGGGACAGACAGAGGAGCAAGTGGAACTAACAGAATAAAGGCCCAAGTGAAAGAAATTATGTTGAGGCTGGGAATACAGGCAGCAACATTTCAGAGGATTTGTTCCCAGGGCAGGCAGCAGTAGCAATGGCTAATTCTGCCAGGGACAGTGTCAGTCAGATCAGCCAGGAATTCACCTGTTTGCAAAGTACTACTCCAGCACAGGGTAAGGTTATTAGCATCCCATGTTCAAAATTATACAAATCTAAGCACAGAGACAGAACTTATGAATAACTGAAGGGATTTATTTTCTAAACCTAGATGTCTCTTTTCAATTCTAAGTCTCTCCCAGAGGACCTGTGATGCATCTACTATGACTGTGCCAATGTCTCAGACCATTGCATTAGCCTATGGAATACTACCTACTGTGTCCTTTTCAGGCTTGAGAAAATGAATGGGGACCAACTTCAACCAGCTTGAGATAGAACAGCTCTGATGGCCCAGGTGGTACCTGCAGTTCCCTGATGATCTAACCCAGGGGCCTGGCTCAACCACTTGGCCACCTCTAAAAGTTTACAGAAATCCCTGCTCCCTACCACATGTGGTAAATGCAAACTGTGTAGCTGAGCAGTATAATTTCTCATGGCACAGCTGTAGAACTCAGAAGAAACAGTGTAAACAAGATCCAGGCATCCCTCATCACTGCAGCCATGAGAAATGGTGCCTTACCACAACACACCTTTTCCCCCTGCCCATCCCACCTGGTTTTACCTGTTCTCTGTCAGTCACTGCCATTCCTCCCTGAAGTTCTCACGTGACTGTGACAGAAATGTCTAAGGAGATGAGATCGAAGCACCTACAGCAAATAAATAAATGGATAAAGCACTAAAAAAACCAAGCTGGAGAACAAGGGGGACATGAGCTGTTAGAGGCTCGAAGGCCAGCCCATAGAGTCACTCAGTCTAGACTCCAGATGTGAACACAGAGCCTCAGTGAGTGCAATACGGGACTGCGTAAATATCTCAGCCAGATGTCTCAGGGCCCGAGCTACAAATCCTCACAAATGGTGACAGAGTTGGCTGTTGCTGTTTGTACAGCTCTGCTTCCAAGAGAATCAGTGGTCATTCAGTCAGCAGCAGTTCATTTTTGCTGCCAGATGGGAGGGAAAACCAGGCTCAGGGTTGCAGTTAGTCTCATAGCAAACTCATCAGTCGGTGGATGGGTCATGGAGCCCTCTGTGGGTACTGAGGTTGGCTCAAAATAGCAATCTGAGGAAAGAGCTGAAAAGATGATAGTAAACATAAAGGCACATGATACTGAACTTCCAAATAGGCTAAAGTAACAGGCTGCCATGTCAGGCATTTGAATTAAGATTTAGGTCTTCCAGACCCCTCCCATTTGATCAGCTAAGCTCACAGATGCTTAACATTACGCGATGGAATTACCTTATGTTTCAGTTGCTGGAGACATGATGCTCTGGCTCTAAGGAACTTGATGCTTGCATCTGCACTTTCAAATCAAGCATTCCTTGGCCCCACATTCATGTTCCCAGAAATTGTCTCCTGGGTGAGTGCCCCACAGAAAGCACCTGGAGGAAATCTCACCACCTTCCTGTCTATTTGCAGTTGGGTCTGTCCCTGGGGAGGCTGGAGATCAGTTTCAGCTCCCTCTTCCGTCTGACTCAGACCAGAGAATTGAGCCTGTGTCTCCCAGGAAATTCTACCTAGTCTATGCTGTATTTCAAACTAAAGCTTTCCCAGTCTCTTGGATTTCTCTCACACTCCATAAAAAAAACCTATTTATTGCAGCAGGGTATAGGACCTGGGGATCTGCAGTAAAAGTCCTTTTATAATCTACCCGGTCACTGACCCAATTTAGGATATATCAATTTATGAGCTAGATTCTCTTCAGCAAGTCACCAAAATTGGAACTGGCTGAATAATTTATGAGAAGATTTGTGAGCAAAAGTTCTGAGTTGGGACACACTAATTCATGGGGATAATATTATTTATGATTTCTTGTTCAGACATGAACATGTTTTAGGATAGCAAACATTTGTCACAAGATTTTCAAGAAGATGGTTTTAATTCTCCTTTTTTAGGGTACCAATAGAAAAAGGAATCATACAGTATAAAAGATGAGCTTTTGAATCAACTCAGAAAAACTTGTCAAAGATACATATGCCAGTCAAACAAATCAAACAGCCCAGGAAAACTTGACAAAGAGACGTGTACTACCATATCAGTGCCCTGTCTCTCTGGGTCCAATTACAGCCTAAAGTTGCACCTCCTGGAGAAATATCTAAGAAGGCCATTGTCCCTGTCTTCAGACCTAGGCTCACAGAGATAACTTGGAGTCAAAAAAGTTTAGGATAAATTGCAGTACTTCAGACTCACCACAGGCTAAGGACTCGCATGTGAGCAGGATGAAGTCTTTTATCTTCCATGGCAAATACTTGGCACTGTGAGCCCCAACTCACAGACACTTTTTCTCACTCCCAAGGTTCTAATGGAGGTCATGCCAAAAGATGTTCTGAACAACACCAGGTACCCATAGTGGTACATTTCCCATATAGGTTGCAAGGGCTTACTCTCTTTTACACCTCTTCCACTTCTGACCCTCAAACCATTGCTGGGATCCACTTGGTTGTAATGAAAATATTTCCTGAGCAGCCACATTCAACCTTGGGTCTAAGTTAGATTTATCTGCACTGATAGGTGTATGCTTTTGAGGTTTAATTAATTTCCCTCCTTATCCTGAACAACTTAACCCCAAAACACATAGTATAGAGAGACCTGTGCTGAACATGGACATCCTTTTCCTTGTAATTCTGCACTTTCTAAAGAGAAAAGGCATTGAATGCAATAACCTTAAATAACAGCTAACTCCATTATCTAAAACAAGTATACTGAACAATTTATTCAAGCACGACATGCTGTTCTTCCACCTCCTTGGTAATGAGTGCACAGCATCACCATGGCTGAAAGGAAAAGGGGATATTTCTTCCGGCACTGCCCTCTGGGTCCATTAGGCTGGCTTATCCAGCAATTGTGTTGGCAGTTTGGAGTTCTTCCCAGGATCTTCTATGGCCAGGGATGCTACAGGCCACTTTATTAAATGTCACTGGCCATTGCAGATTAATTTTTTTGGGGGGGATCAACCTTAGAATGTTTTCACAGAAAAAATTTTTATGCTTCACATAAAAAATTCATCTATTTAAAAGTCTTTTCAGAGGAAATCCTTTCTTTTAGAATTAAAGAGTCATACTTGGACTCCTACTGTACAGCACTGAGTCTTCCATATTGGGAGAAAGAAAATTTTCCTCATCTCACCCTTGATCTGCAGTTGCAACCCCTCTTCTAGCACAGGCTCAGAACACACCTCTGACTCACAAATGCCAGTTCCAGTGTATAAATAGCAAGCAGACAAAAACATGAGATAAGTGAAACCTTTCCTCTCACAGTGCAGAGGGAGGTGGAACTCGTGTAGACCAGTAAAAAAGGTGTTGAAATACAGTGTTGGAGGAGGATACAGAAATTCCATAATTCTTATCTCTGTCCCTGAGTTCCTATCTGTGGAAAATCAGATGCATTGTGCCATTCATGCAAGTGTAGTTGCCATCTGAGAGCCTCAAAGCTGCATTCCTCAATGCCTGTGGCCATATCAAATTTTTGGGAAGCCATGAAGAACCATTGTCAGGAAAATGGTGCTTCATTTACTCTTTGACTCTCAAAGAATGTTTTGTCTTCCTCTCTGTTTTGTGAAGTGCTGTCAACACTTACAGTGAAGTTTATTGTAAATACACAATAATAACAACTGTGCAGATTCATCTCCAATTCAATTCCTATGTAAATTTATGTTAATATGTATGCAGATTAGGCCTGCCCCCCTTGGTCCTGGAAAGTTCTCAGAATGACACATGGGTTCTGAAGAGGTTGTGTACTACTGATCTGCAGTTTTTGTATAGTGTTCAATCACTGGCAAGCCAGCAACAAGAGACTGTGGATATTTGTCTTCCCATTCACTGGATAAATCAATGGAGTCTTCTAGAGTCTAACTAGCCTAACAAGGACTTTTCTAGAGTCTAGCAAGAATTAAAAAGAAGTCTCTAAAATCCATGTCTAAACCATGACCTACTAATTTTATTTCTATTTCTCAATAGAACTCATACTTGTTGGATCTTCTGAAAAATTGGATAGTACAAGGAAGCCTAGTAAGTTTCAAGATCTGATATGCCATTTATGAGACAGAAAAGGATTTTTTTTCTCCCTAATATTTAGTAACCACTTAACCAATGCCTGGACTTTAGGCGTACTCCTCACGTTTTTTTGACTAAATCAGTACACTTTTTAAGAGAGCTTCAATAGGTAATTTATTCTTTCCTTCTCAACTTCCTTTTCCTCTGTTTTAACATGAAAAAAACACTGATCTTCCACCTGTTTGTGCAGCCAGAGCCATTTTGAGCATTCAGATCCGACCAATGGGGAGGCAGCTGGAGTGCTGCAGTTGGCTGTTCTCTGCTTTCCATGGTGACATGGGTGTTTTGCTATGACACTTTCTAAGGACCCTTTGCAGTAAATAGAAACTAATCTTCAGCTCATCCCATGACAGTGTCCCTACAAGGCTCTCAGGCACTTCTAAAATAATCACAACAGGACTTAAATTGGAGCTATAAGAGACACATGTGCTCATTACACAGGGATGAATTTCTGGTAATCCAAAAGGGGTTGGGAAGTTGCCGTCAGAAACAGCAGGCGCCAAAATTTTTGGCTAGGAAGACATAACAGACAACCAAAGTCCAATTGCCAGAAAGTATTTATACTCCTGCAGTTCCCAGCTGAGGACTTGATCCTGACCTTTGATACATAAAACAAATTTGTTGTTCAGTTGTGAACTTGGTTGTGCTTGGAGGGTAAGATTGCACCCAGAGTTGATAAAGGTGGGAGCTCAGTCATCATTTCAGAATGAGGCAGCAGCCTCCTGACCGTAATCACCTCCAATCCCAATAATACTTTATGGACTGAGGTGGCCAGTGATTTTTGGGGGGAAAAAAACCAAACAAACCAAGAAATAACAAAACAACAAATTAGAACACTGTGTGACCCCCACACAAATTAGAACAGAACTGTACCTCATAGACTGATGAGTAACTTCAGTCACCATTTATTTCCGGCCTTTCAGCTGATTTAAAGACTGATGCTGAGGAAATCTCTCCTTCAAGTTCTTCTCACTTTAATCTGGTTTAGAGTGTTATTTCACTCAACTTTTTAAATCTCATTTTATTGAAGGCAATGTTAGCCCCAAGAGGAAAACAAGAAAAAATAAAAACAATTAGAGCCTGGAAGGAATCTGTATTTTTTTCTTTGAAATAGAGCCCCTTGTCAGACAGCTTTCCACGTACCTTGTTCAGCGTAGATTACATTATAGTATCCCATCAGGCCCATTCAAACCAGGTTGCAAAGTTATTGTGGCTGGAATCCATCGCTGCTTTCCCTGCCCATGATAGCTGTTGGTGCCAATTTCATCTTAATCATTTTCTCTCTTTCCACCTCTCATGCAGCTGCCTTCCTGTCTTGATAGGACCAAAGTGCAGCTCATGGAATCTATATGATAATCACAAAAATAGCTATATCTGTTGAAAAATGGATTTAATTCCCCCTCTAAACCTTTGTGTATTGCCAACTGGGGGTGTGAAACCAGCTGGCAAAAGATGCGTTCAGTTCGGTTTCATGACTTTCATATACTGCAGCTTCCCGAATTTAAATGGTTCCTCCCCTGTCTAATGAGACCATCAAGGCCTTGATTAACAGCCCTCACTTTAAACAAAGTTTTGGAGTTTCTTTTCATGGTAACTTCTCCCAAGACGTCTGACAGCCTGCTTGATCCAGGGCAGCCGAATGCCTCTTACTTCACAGCATGAGCATTTGTCAGAGGCACTAGGAGTCAGGCTTGGTGAGGATTTGTATCCCTGAGTAGTCTGCAAGTAACTTGCACAACAGCGTGGGAAGCAAGCTTAAAAGTAGTGCTGGTAAAACTGTGAAAAACTAATTTAATCAATGTTTTCAAAATGTAAAGGCCTGGAATGGATGATGTTTTACTTTTTTAAACTCTTTTATCCCCATTCTTATAAAAATACATTTTTATCTACTGAAAAGCTTGTCTTCAGTACATTGTTTGCAATTTTCTTTCAGTCTAAACAGGATTTCAGAGAATGACAAGGCAGTGTGAGAGCATGGTATGTTTTTTCACTATTGATCACAGAGAAGGGAAAGGCTATTTCTTGGGAAAGATTGCTTCAAGACAGGTAGAACCATCCAGGTCAGAGTCTTGAACCTGGACTTAGAGGGCATGACTGAGCCCTCTTGGATTTTTGCTTAACATTTAGATGAAGTTTAGTTTTGGCTATGCTTGACAGTCAGAAAGTTACACTTACTTTGAACCAACGCATGAAAGGAAATACTCGGGTCTTGGGGGATGGAGGGAAAATGTAGAGGGGGGATAAATCAACCCTAAGTAAAAGGCTCCCGTGAAGTTGGTAGCATAACCAGACAAGCAAAACAAGAAAAAGAGAATGAAAAATTTCAGTCGCAGAAGTCAAAAGCTTCAACTCTCTTACAGGGAAGGAATACATTGCTACTCGTTTCTGCTGTGCCTACTGATACCATCTACAGAAAAATCTATCACCAGTGGAAAGAGGGTTACATTCCTTGTCAGCGCATTCCACCACATTGGTGTCTGGACTTTCAAGAGTTCATTAAATTAAATTCATCATGGAATATTCTTTGAAACAGAAAGCTCCTTTATTTTGGCCTCATAGAACCATTAATAACTCCTTTATATATTAATTTCCCTCCATTTATTGCTTCAGCTATCAGCAAAAATAAATTTACGTTAAAGCAAATTGTGGCATATCTTTCTCTGTATATTCCCATATTCATGCATATATATGACCCCCACACAAATACACATATACATAAATATAAAACCTAACAGTGAATAGCAGAATTTACTGAAAGGCAAGGAAAAAACCTAGCATATTCAGAAATAGGAGAAAATTAACACTGAAATATAAATAATACATCTTAGCTATTAGGCATATTTTACATTTTGTTCTTCTGTCATTATTCTGATTATGACATTTTATTTTTGCATATCTATCTTTTAGGAAGATAAGAAGATCCCAATGAACTGGAATACTCACAGAGAAAGATCTGACTGGTTTGTTTAGAGGGAAAGAACAAAACTGGAGTCAAGAGACTGAAAAGAGTGTGCTAAGAATACAGCACAGTCAGTGGAGACTGGTAACAGCTATGGAGCTTTTGTCCTTGGGCAGAAGCTGAAAAGCACAAACAGATTCAAGTTAACAGTGCCAGAATGGCAACTCAATGAAGCCATTGTACATGTTCCCACCAACTACAAAGAGCTTTGCTCCAACATTAGGACTTGTTCCTGTGCTCTACTTTCTTCCCATTCAATACCTGCCTCCATAAATATTTGTTTCTATTAGTGATATGGATGCAAACTTTACTCAAGGGAGACATAGGACTGGGGGAGCAGAGAATGCTTGAAATGTGATTTAACAGGAGTCTACCAGACTTGGTGTCAGCTCTTCTGTCCCTAAGACTTAGAAAAACTAGGTTTCTGATCTTAGAAAACTATTCTGTCCTTATTAGAATTTAGAAATATCTGCAAGAGTTGTAACAATATAGTCTAATTTTCACACAGGGAGTTCCAAGCACAATGAATGAAGAATGGAGGAAGTCACCTGCAAGTAATTGCTGTACCTCAAAAGCAGAGCACAGAATTGTTAGTCTCATTGAAGATAAAAGCAGTACTCTTCATCTGGAGAACCTGTGAAAACACTGCTTGTGAAATATCATTTAGTCCTTATCCTCAGCCAAAAATGATGGGAAGCAAACCTGCTCTGCTGTACCTCTTCACTGAATTCAGAGCTGTCAGCCATTAATACAACACATGACCAAAGTCACCACTGCACCAATGGACTTTGCTACTGGCAGGAATGGCATGAAGGCCATGTCTGGATCAGTACAGTGTTGCAGGACACTGTTGGTGCACTGTTAGTGGGAATACTGGAATCTCAAGCTCCAGACCCAAGTCTGTACATTCTTAGCACTTCATGATATACAAGTGACAACCGTTATATGAACCAGTAAAGATGTACATACCCCAACCCAGAGAGCAAGGAAGACATGCAAGTCCCAATGTAATTCAGATTTAAACACGACCCAATGTGGCAGGCATCCCAGTGTCCGATCTCATAAAATGAGCATTTTCAGAGCTTTCACTGGGAAACAAAAAAGAAAAAAAGGAAAATAAATTCTACCTCAACATCTTGAAAAGAGGCAGTTACCTCTCCAGGGTTTCTTCCTCAATTAGGCAGGGCTCCTTGCCTTGGTTGGATAACAAATGCACATTCATAGGTCCACATCTGCTCAGATATCTGTAACACAACACTATTTATGCCACAGCCAAAAGACATTCTTACTTTCCCTGACTAGTGAGGGGTCAGCTCAAGCTGGTGTAATTCACCTTTTGTTCATCAGTAGACAATTCTAATATAACAATGGAGACAACATAACTGCTGGGAAAGGAGGGAATTAAGTTTACATTCATCACTTCTGTAATACTTCAGAGAATCTGAATAAAAGAATGTTTTATCGTGTGTTGATGCAACTGTCTCCCCAAAAAATCAGAGTCTCTTGCATTGAAAATAGACTTGCTTTGATTGCCCTGTCCTAAGTAGAACCATAAAAGTGATACAACAGAGGATCTTCCTCAGAAACATAATTTTGTTCCAGAGAATCTCTGAACCTAAACATTTCCTTTCAGACACTTTATTCCCAGAGGAGCCTGGGTTTCTGCAAGAGCCCTTTGTAGTCCAGCTGGATGTCATTACATAATTAAGCCTGTGAGCCAGGAGCTAGTCATGAGAATGGCAATTTTACAATGTAAGATCAAAATGTTATTCTTTCTTTCAAAAGACCTGGTGCCATTTGTTGTAGTGCCTTTATGCAAGGGATCAAATATAGTATTGATTATTCATTATAACCTTTAAAGAGGTGAGGGTGCTTCTGGAATTCAGAAAGATTTCTGGGGATCTGAAGTGATATAAGGCCTCAGGGCTTGATGACTCTTCTTGACCTGAAGCTTTGAAATATCACCTGCTGTCTGGATTGTTCCTACTTGCTGCCTGGGATTTCAAAGTCTCTCTCTCTCTTCCTTTTTTCTCCCCAATGTCTTACAGACATTGCCAGATCAAGAGAAGCAAAGAATGCAAAAGAAAGTGAAAGTGAGAGACCAGGAGTTGGAAGCCCAGCTGGCATAGATCAGCTTCAATTCAAGCTTGAATTGAAAATTACTATCATTCTTGTTGTGCTGCATCCTACTGTGTGTGGTTATTGCATTACACAGAAGAGGCAGTGGCCATATCCTGTGGCCAGCTCCATTCCCTTCAACATGGGTTAACCAACTGTTCAATATCCCAGCACAGGGAGTTTTTAAACCTTTCTCTGCCAATTTGATCTTCTGGCACACTCAAATGGAGGAATGTTTGGAGGAGACTGGGAGTGTGGGAGTTATGTGGAGATCCTGACAAAATTTAAGACACTGTCTTTACCAGCAAAGAAAAAAAATCAATGTCATAATAATCTAAACGCTATATTAAAAGTTTCAATTTTCAACAACAGTGCCTCTGTGTTGTAGACTAAACCTCCAAGAGTGCTTTTTGGCAGATGGTTAAATATTTAAGTAGTTGGCCACAGATTTTTAAAAATTGAGATAATTAGAATACTTGAAGCAGTTAATATTTATTAGTCATGAAGAGTTTGACAGATTAGATGTTTTCCTACCCACACATTCTCTGTCAGAAAAAAACCAACCAAAATCACCAAAAAAAGCACCATTAAAAAAAAAAAAAAAAAAAAAAAAAAAACCACCCACAAAAACCCCAAAAACACCTCAAGCCCCCTTGTCTTTCATTCTATGGGTCACAAACTTTGATATGAAGCAGAAGGCATGGACTTCCCAGTTTGCTCAGTATGAGACACTGAGAGTAGTTGCTGTCACTCAGTTCAAGAAAAGGCCAGGAAAAAAAATGATTGGAACAACAAGATCTCAGTGGAAATGCAGGGAGTTGACTCTGGAAAGTTCCCAGGATTAAAACCTGAAGACTGAATCTTCCGCACTACTTCAACTTTCACTATAAATTACGGTGTCCCTAATAAGGTTGCAGGGCTACTCCAGTCACTGGGGATCATGAGACAAACCATTTCCTATTAACCTGTTGGCCTTCCTTACAGGAGAGGAGATGCATGGGACAAAGGCAGACCAGCTCTGGGGCACTCCAGAACTGCATCAGAGAAGATGCCATGACACAGTGGAGTCTTGGCCTCCTGTCCTTGAAATGGGAGACAGGAGGCCAAGAACTGACAGATTACTGAGGCTGCTGTAAGGACTGGTTTCACCAAACATGTCTTCTTTTATCTGTCTAGAAATCTGGCTGAAAATAAGGATTCCTGGCTATCCCACAGACTGTCAATATCTGTAAATGTTCAAACTGTGTCTGGGCACAGACAAAGCCTGCTTTTGCATGGAATGTGTATGTTATTAATGTATAATAGAGCAGCCACATGAAACTCCTAATCAGCAATTTATGCAAAACATGAAAGTACCACCAGTGATAGACTATGTAGCTAGCTGGCTGGAAACAAACCCACTTCCATTATAACTTACCTCTCCTTTTTTATTAGCACCATTGAATGGTCACTATGTGCCCCTGTATGAAGTCCCTTGGGTCCCTTTACACTCACAGGCAATAAAGCACCTCAGAAATTACATTTGCATGTATCCACAGGCAGTGTTAAAAGGAGTGAATGCATAGGATTAACTGTGGCAGGCAGGGGGATGAGTGGAAAGGATTTTCAGTGCTGTCTACACAGCAAGGTCAAGGGCAGACAGGAGTATATTATACAACTGCTCTTACCTGGCACAAACCAGTAGGGCAGGACTGACTGCCCTGACAGGCTGAACACAGGCCTGATCTGGAGTTACCCCAGCACTGCCCTCAAGGAAATCAAGAGACAGATTGGAAAGTAATCTTGGTTACTACCCTGTGTGAGTGCCAGTTTGCTCTCTTAAGGGGATGGTAGCTGGAGCAGAGCGATCTCTCAGTTATAC